GTGGTGGCTTTATTTCGATCCTCGCCGGTATGCCGCAGCCCACTTCTCCCGCATTATGGGTCTTTGCCGTCGCCTATTTCTCAAGTTCGGGTTTGGCACTGTAGTTTGTTTCTTTTGTGTTAGAAACAGCCCTTTACCTACTGTTCTGTTGGTCGAGAGTGTTTCATCACATGCGTTTAGGGTCCTTTTTGGGTCATTTGCTTTTCGGTTGGTCGTATGACCTCCTTTTCACTGGCTGCCCTCGGGTTGCCACCCTCACACAATGCAGGAGTGAAGTTTCGCAGCGTTCCGCTCCCTTTCGTGTGCATCGTTTGCCGCTTGAGGTTTGCCACGCCTCGCTCGTCCTAAGTCCTAAGCTTGTATTTCCATTGCCAAGTGCACACTTTTTTTGGCAGTCGGCCACTCATGGTGAGCACGCCTCGTCCCTGACCCGTTTAGGGTTTTAGGTTGTTGCAACTTCCCACTGCAGCATTGCAGGGTGCAAACTGCCAGTTTCCATTTCTTTTTGGGTGCAGGCTTCGTATGGCTGTGCCATTCTTCACCTAATCAAGACGAGTTCTGGGTTTCAGGTTCACAAGATGCACGGCACGCGGTACTTTCACAGATATGTTTTGAATCATGCTCGGACCGTGGTGGCTTTATTTCGATACCCGCCTGTATGCCACTGCACACTTCTCCCGCATTATGGGTCTTTGCCGTCGCCTATTTCTCAAGTTCGGGTTTGGCACTGTAGTTTGTTTCTTCTGCGTTAGAAATGGCCCTTTACTTATTGTTCTGTTGGTTGAGAGTGTTTCATCACTCACACGTTTAGGGTATAGTCTTTTGCCAATGCCGGTTCCTTTTCGGGTGTAGGGATCATCTGCTTTTCGGTTTGTCGTATGACCTCCTTTTCGCTGGCTGCCCTCGGGTTGCCACCCCTCACACACAATGCAGGAGTGAAGTTTCGCAGCGTTCCGTTCCCTTTCGTGTGCATCGTTTGTCGGCGTAGCCATTGAGGGGTTTGAGGTTTGCCACGCCTCGCTCGTGCTAGGTCCTAAGCTTGTTTTTCCATTGCCGCGCACACTTCTTTTTGTCGGTCGGCCACTCAGGGTGAGCACGCTTCATTCCTGACCTGTTTAGGGTTTATGTTTTTACAATTTCCCACTGCAGCATCGCAGGGTGCAAACTGCCAGTTTCCATTCCGTTTTGGGTGCAGGCTTAGTACGGCTTTGCCACTCTTCACCTATTCAAGAAGAGTTCTGGGTGTCAGGTTCACAAGATGCACGGCACGCGGTACTTTCACAGATTTGTTTTGAATCATGCTCGGACCGTGGTGGCTTTATTTCGATCCTCGCCTGTATGCCACTGCACACTTCACCCGCATTATGGTTTTTGCCGTCGCCTATTTCTCAAGTTCGGGTTTGGCACTGTAGTTTGTTTCTTCTGCGTTAGAAATGGCCCTTTACTCATTGTTCTGTTGGTTGAGAGTGTTTCATCACTCACACGTTTAGGGTTTAGTCTTTTGCCATTGCTGGTTCCTTTGTGGGTGTAGGGTCATTTGCTTTGAGGTATGTCGCATGACCTCCTGTTCCCTGACTGCCCTCGGGTTGCCACCCCTCACACACAATGCAGGAGTGAAGTTTCGCAACGTTCCGTTCCCTTTCGTGTGCAAATCGTTTGCTACCGTAGCCATTCCGGGGTTTGAGGTTTGCCACGCCTCGCTCGTCCTACGTCCTACGCTTGTTTTTCCATTGCCAAGTGCACACTTTTTTTGGCAGTCGGCCACTCATGGTGAGCACGCCTCGTCCCTGACCCGTTTAGGGTTTTAGGTTGTTGCAACTTCCCACTGCAGCATTGCAGGGTGCAAACTGCCAGTTACCATTTCTTTTTGGGTGCAGGCATCGTATGGCCGTGCCATTCTTCACCTAATTATTCAAGAAGAGTTCTGGGTGTCAGGTTCACAAGATGCACGGCACGCGGTACTTTCACAGATATGTTTTGAATCATGCTCGGACCGTGGTGGCTTTATTTCGATCCTCGCCGGTATGCCGCAGCCCACTTCTCCCGCATTATGGGTCTTTGCCGTCGCCTATTTCTCAAGTTCGGGTTTGGCACTGTAGTTTGTTTCTCTATTAGAAACGGCCCTTTACTTATTGTTCTGTTGGTTGAGAGTGTTTCATCACTCACACTTTTAGGGTTTAGTCTTTTGCCAATGCCGGTTCCTTTTCGGGTGTAGGGTCATTTGCTTTTCGGTTTGTCGTATGACCTCCTTTTCGCTGGCTGCCCTCGGGTTGCCACCCCTCACACACAATGCAGGAGTGAAGTTTTGCAGCGTTCCGTTCCCTTTCGTGTGCATCGTTTGCCGGCGTAGCCATTCCGGGGTTTGAGGTTTGCCACGCCTCGCTCGTGCTAGGTCCTAAGCATTTTTTCTTTTGCCAAGTGCACACTTCTTTTTGGCAGTCGGCCACTCAGGGTGAGCACGCTTCATTCCTGACCTGTTTAGGGTTTATGTTTTTACAATTTCCCACTGCAGCATCGCAGGGTGCAAACTGCCAGTTTCCATTCCGTTTTGGGTGCAGGCTTAGTACGGCTTTGCCATTCTTCACCTATTCAAGAAGAGTTCTGGGTGTCAGGTTCACAAGATGCACGGCACGCGGTACTTTCACAGATTTGTTTTGAATCATGCTCGGACCGTGGTGGCTTTATTTCGATCCCCGCCTTTATGCCACTGCACACTTCTCCCGCATTATGGTCTTTGCCGTCGCCTATTTCTCAAGTTCGGGTTTGGCACTGTAGTTTGTTTCTTCTGCGTTAGAAACAGCCCTTTACTTGCTGTTCTGTTGGTCGAGAGTGTTTCATCACATGCGTTTAGGGTCCTTTTTGGGTAATTTGCTTTTCGGTTTGTCGTATGACCTCCTTTTCACTGGCTGCCCTCGGGTTGCCACCCTCACACAATGCAGGAGTGAAGTTTCGCAGCGTTCCGCTCCCTTTCGTGTGCATCGTTTGCCGTTTGAGGTTTGCCACGCCTCGCTCGTGCTAGGTCCTAAGCTTGTTTTTCCATTGCCGCGCACACTTCTTTTTGTCGGTCGGCCACTCAGGGTGAGCACGCTTCATTCCTGACCTGGTTAGGGTTTATGTTTTTACAATTTCCCACTGCAGCATCGCAGGGTGCAAACTGCCAGTTTCCATTCCGTTTTGGGTGCAGGCTTAGTACGGCTTTGCCATTCTTCACCTATTCAAGAACAGTTCTGGGTTTCAGGTTCACAAGATGCACGGCACGCGGTACTTTCACAGATTTGTTTTGAATCATGCTCGGACCGTGGTGGCTTTATTTCGATCCTCGCCTGCATGCCGCTGCACACTTCTCTCCCGCATTATGGTTTTTGCCGTCGCCTATTTCTCAAGTTCGGGTTTGGCACTGTAGTTTGTTTTTTCTGCGTTAGAGGTCCCTTTGTGGGTGTAGGGTCATTTGCTTTTCGGCATGTCGCATGACCTCCTGTTCCCTGACTGCCCTCGGGTTGCCACCCCTCACACACAATGCAGGAGTGAAGTTTCGCAGCGTTCCGTTCCCTTTCGTGTGCATCGTTTGCCGGCGTAGCCATTCCGGGGTTGAGGTTTGCCACGCCTCGCTCGTCCTAAGTCCTAAGCTTGTTTTTCCATTGCCAAGTGCACACTTTTTTTGGCAGTCGGCCACTCATGGTGAGCACTCCTCGTCCCTGACCCGTTTAGGGTTTTAGGTTTTTGCAACTTCCCACTGCAGCATTGCAGGGTGCAAACTGCCAGTTACCATTTCTTTTTGAGTGCAGGCTTCGTATGGCTGTGCCATTCTTCACCTATTCAAGAAGAGTTCTGGGTTTCAGGTTCACAAGATGCACGGCACGCGGTACTTTCACAGATTTGTTTTGAATCATGCTCGGACCGTGGTGGCTCAGTTTCGATCCTCGCCGGTATGCCACTGCCCACTTCTCCCGCATTATGGGTCTTTGCCGTCGCCTATTTCTCAAGTTCGGGTTTGGCACTGTAGTTTGTTTCTCTATTAGAAACGGCCCTTTACTTATTGTTCTGTTGGTTGAGAGTGTTTCATCACTCACACGTTTAGGGTTTAGTCTTTTGCCAATGCCGGTTCCTTTTCGGGTGTAGGGATCATCTGCTTTTCGGTTTGTCGTATGACCTCCTTTTCGCTGGCTGCCCTCGGGCTGCCGCCCCTCGCACAATGCAGGAGTGAGGTTTCGCAGCGTCCCGTTCCCTTTCGCGTGCATCGTTTGCCGGTGTAGCCATTCCGGGGTTTGAGGTTTGCCACGCCTCGCTCGTGCTAGGTCCTAAGCTTGTTTTTCCATTGCCGCGCACACTTCTTTTTGTCGGTCGGCCACTCAGGGTGAGCACGCTTCATTCCTTATGTTTTTACAATTTCCCACTGCAGCATCGCAGGGTGCAAACTGCCAGTTTACCCATTCCGTTTTGGGTGCAGGCTTAGTACGGCTTTGCCATTCTTCACCTATTCAAGAAGAGTTCTGGGTTTCAGGTTCTTATGCACGGCACGCGGTACTTTCACAGATTTGAAAGGAATGAAGCTCGGGCATTGTGCTCTTTGCCGTCGCCTATTTCTCAAGTTCGGGTTTGGCACTGCATTTTGTTTTTTTCTGTATTGGAAAAGATTTACTTATTGCTGTGTTGGTTGAGTGTTTCATCACTCACATGTTTAGGGTTTAGTCTTTTGCCATTGCCGGTTCCTTTTCGGGTGTAGGGATCATCTGCTTTTCGGTTTGTCGTATGACCTCCTTTTCGCTGGCTGCCCTCGGGTTGCCGCCCCTCGCACAATACAGGAGTGAAGTTTCGCAGCGTCCCGTTCCCTTTCGTGTGCATCGTTTGCCGCCATAGCATTTCGGGTTTGAGGTGTGCCACGCCTCGCTCCTGTGCAATCGAAATAGAATAGCTGGGTTCTTTCCAATGTGTCAATGAAGGTGCTGATGCAGTTGGCGAGGTAGTGCACAGCTGTAAAGAGCAGCTCGTTTTCTTTGCAGGTAGAGGCATTTGCGGAGCTGGCCCAGAAGCTTGCGGATCCAGGGACCGAGGCCGGCATTGTCGCAAGCGCACGAGACCCAGTCGCAAGAGGCCTAGTGAAGTAGCGCGTTGTGGCATACCCTGCATGTAGTAGCTCAAGAGACTTGCTGTCTTTAGGACTGGTCCCAAATGTTGTTGAGTTGTCCTCGAAAGCAAACAGTGCGTTGGTTGCCGTGGTTTGTGCATCCGCTTTCCTCGATTCTGCTTCAAAAGCGTGCACCCCTTGGCGATTTTACCGCTTGAGCCTTGTTTTCAATTTCTTTGTTCCGACATCGATGCTGACACGCAGGTCCTCACCGGCAGTGTGGTTTACGAAGATCTCAACACGGAGAAGGTCTTCACTTTGCTCCTGCCTCCGAATCGTTGTGGATCGGAGCCATAGGTCGGGGAGCTGGCTGAAGACCTTGCGTCCAAAATGACGAAGAAACTTCAGGCTGAATCCTGAAGGAAGCTTCTAAGATCTGCCGGTACCACTGCAGGCATTCTTGTGATGATCCTGAGAGGAACCCGCTGAGAGCCCAAAAGCGTTGCAAACTCAGCTCAAAAAACAGCCAGCCACTCAAGGTGGTGTCGGCATGCAGCCTCGAGCCAAACACCTCCATCCAGATTTTCCGATGCAGGTTTGCTGAAGCGCTGGGCATCCTCTTCCAGCAAGGCCTGCTTGCAAAAACTCCTCGGCTCTCCGCCCGTTTCAAACCTCTCGACTCTTTTTTTCAGTGCATTGAAAGTAAACTGGGTCGGTTTGCATCGGCCAGGGCAGGAGAACTCTGAGGACCGCCTGTCGGGGTTTGGCGCTTGAAGGCTCGAGAGATTTCGCTTGGCCGAAAACAAACTGTTGAAGGCGCGGCATGAGGCTGCGTTGCTGGGATTCATCATGTCATCATATTCGCTCAGAAACGAGCACATGGTGGAAGCAAGCGGACAGTTTCATGTGCTATTTGTCCCTGGACCGCATCAGAAGCGCTCGGTTCAGGTGTTACCGAGTCATGCTTGCCGGATCCTGCATGTAGCTTCCATTCTACCTGCTACCTGCATTCTGCATTTTATGGAAACTGCAGGCAGCAGGATGCCAGTGGCTAATATTGAAGTTGACTTGGCATGGCATTCAGGCGTTGTTTGAGTGGTTCTGACTTGCTGAAACATGTTTCGGTGCTGCGCATCTAGCTTTCATGGATCGCGCCAATGCCTGGCTGCTCGTGGGCATTAGCTCCCTGGCTGTCGGGCTGCTCTTATGGCGACGTGGGAGTTTTCGGAGCGGTACTACGCGCGAGGCTGTGACGGGTGTCAAGACATGAGCAATGGTGAGGGGTCGACTAGTGCTAACCCACGCCTGGTCTTCCAGGTGCCCGTACGTCCTTCAGCCAACGGTGCTGACAAGAAGTTGGCAGCACATACTGAGGTCCTGTCGCGCTTGAACTTTTCTTGCTCTTGGATCTCTTGGCACGCATAATGTATTTAGGATTTAGGGCCTAGGGCTTACGGTGCTTATGGTTCAATTTTATTTGAAGGTGAGCTTGTGTACTTTTAGGTTAGCTGGGGTCCACATTATGTCGTTATGCCATGCAGGGCACAGATAGCCACAGCTCTGGTGGGGGTCTTATGTTGAAGTTGCTAAAGTTCGGATCGTGTAGACTGCCGTGCGTCGTGCGATCAGATCATCCAGATCTAAAAAGTCTCAAAGGGAATTCCGCATGGAGCAGAATTATGGGATAGCTTGTTCAACTCCACCCTTTGCTTGGCCTTTTGAAAAGCCGTGTTGCGACACAGTGGAAGCATACCACATGCACGTGGAACCAAAATCGCGACCCCAGCTACTTCGGTGTATTATGAGGTCTTGATGCTCCAGCCTTTTGCTGCCTGACAGATTATGTATTCCCGACCACATTCGACTGCTGTTTGGGGTACCCAGTGTGGGAGAGGGTCTTCGCCGCTTGAGAGGAGTGTAGCAATTCGGAACTTGAAAGCCCTTCCACAATTCTGTTCAGTCCATGATGCAGGTTCGAAAGCCAACTTTGCAGAGTCCTGCGGGCCTGACGGCCGAAACATTGATAGCCTGGATCGATACTCTGACCAAAACTGACACCTTCGCCATCCCAACATTGCTGGCTCCCCAGCTGCACTTGTTCTCGCTTTTTTCTCACAGTATGATGTTATGCTTCTTTTGTGTACTCTCGGCCTACGCTCAGTTTTGGTCAGGATTGGGTGGAGCAGTTGGCAACGGAGGATGGGCTGCATCTGATGCGAGCTGACCCAAACTTGACTGTCCATGACAGGAAAAGCATGTGGAGCATCTGGCACGCTGCCTGACGGCTCTGCAGCAGCTTATCGCACCAGGCCAAATCGCTCGAGCCGTTGCACGTTTACACATTTTGTTGTCCAGCATTGATCGGATCCTTTGTTCATCAGGCCATGAACTGGCTGCAAGAGCTGTAGAAGCTGGAGTGAAGGCGAGCCACCTCGAACTTGATAGGTTGGGCGCCGCAAGCCAGCAGTGTCAAAAAAGAAATAGCATAGCCTTAAGGGTTTCGTAAGACTCGGCCACCCCTTTTGAAGATCTTGTTTTCAGTATCATCCTTGTCTGTGTATTGAACATCCCTGAGCATGCCTTCCTTAAAGGTCTCTTGAGCTCTTGATCGTGATTCTTAAGGGCAGCAGACGGCACAGTGGACCGCCGGCAACAGTTGGAGTGGTGGATTTGGCGATGCGCACATCGCAAGGCCACTTGTTATGACAGAGAGCAATCAATACTTGGGATAGGCTTGAAAAAAGTGAAATCGGCATCACAAAAAAAGTAGGTATCAAAAGATTTAGATAGGCATCAAAAAATGTACATGCATTGAGTTTGGCAGGCTGGGGTGTGCATGCATCATTTTTGAGGAGCTTTGTACCTGCTGGCAAATTTTGGTTCAAGCTGCAGCTAGAGCCAAACCGACAAGCTGCGTTTGAGATACATGATGAATCCGAATCGCAAATGAGAGGCGTGTTGTAGATGACTTCGAAATAAGGGGTCGCGCTTAAGGTATATGATGAGCCGGAATCGCCAAATGAGGGGGCGTGTTGTAGATATGATCAGCCGGAATCGCCACATGAGGGGGTGTGTTTAAGATGCTTCATCCCAATCGCGAAATGAGGGCATGTTTCCGATATGTGATGAACCGGGATCGCCAAATGAACCGTTCTCGCCAATGAGGGGGCATTGTTAAGATTTACGATGAACCGGAATCGCCAAATGAGGGACGTGTTTGGTTTGAGGCATGTGATGAAATCGGACTCGCCACATGCAGGGGCGTGTTCAGATATAGGATGAGTCCGATGAGTTTTGAATCACAAAGCTTAAACCCTAAAGTTGAATCCGCTGGCCAGAATCGCCGGGGCGTGTTTCAGATATATGATGAACCGGAATCGCCAAATGAGGGGGCGTGGTTAAGATATGTGAGAAACCGGAATCGCCAAATGAGGCCGTGTGAAAAAGATATAGGAAGAATCCGAGGAGGTAGAAAGCTTAAAGCCTAAACACTAAATAAAAGTTGAATCCGGGTGGCCATGTCACCCCGAAATTTGGTGGCTCAGTGACCAAAAACGATGCGGAGTGGGAGTGGCTCAGCCACCCCGCTTTGTGGTGGTTATGTGACCCCGAAACCCCCTTGAATTGCCCGAGCCCAACCAATTATCCTAGAATTGATGCATTGCCAATGATTTAATTGTTTGTTGATGCTTGTTTCAATTTTTCGATCCTGGGGTTTGAACTTTTTTGATGCCTATTTACTTGTTTTGGACGCCTCACCCACTGACTTTTGCATGGTTTCATTTTATTTGCCATGTCATATGCCTTTTCCAAACAGCATGCTCGGCAACATGCCCAGCTTCGCGAGGAGCTCTGGATGGTGTTGTGTCCCGCACAGCTTACCAGCGCTGCTGCCGACTGCTGCATTTCATAGCACGAGGGACACTCAGCAAAGACCTGCTCATCGCTGCGGGTGGTCACGACATGATACTGGCCAAAGCCTCATTGACAGCACAACTTTGTTGCTTCAACATGCAAGGCGACATGCTTTTTCTCATGCAAGCGCCTTCAGGAACTCATGCGAGTTTTCGAAGATGATCCTGGAGTCATGCTGGAGGGGTGCAGTTGTGTCCTTTGCCTGGTACCCAACTCCAGCTTGGATGCAGAAAAGGCCGCCGAGTTGATGATTCGTTGTTTGCAGAAGTTTCCCGCGAAGCTTGGCACATCCAGCGTTACGAAGAGTCGCTCCGGCAGTTGAAAGTTTTCAAGCCGTGTTATCAAAGCTTGGGCGTTTGTTTAAGTCTCGATTTGGCGTCTGATATCAGGCCGTGTCGATCAGGCTTGTTGTCTGCCGACGAAAAAGCCATGAGGCGGACTGGGTCAGCAGACACACTGCCTTGACGTGAACGTCGCTACAATTTCCGTGCAGCATGTTGCCTTCGAGCGAAGCTGATCGCTGTTAAGACCTAATTGACGGAAGCTACCGGAGACCTTCTGAAACCATGGCCTGTTCTCGAAGCTTGTGTGCATGGCCGCGGGATGGTGCTGACATGTGCCGACCGAGGAACGGAGAAGTCCAGTGGCGTGCGCTGGCCACGCTCCATGGGTTGAGAGACTGGGAGGCTTTCCATTCAGGAGAGGTTGCACGACTGGCAATGGCCGCTTTCGAGCAACATCCCCGCAGCTTCGCGCAACAAGGTCTGTTGTTGTATGATATGTATGATGTCTTGCGCAAAAATGCGGTCAGAGTGAGTGAGGCTTTGATGTGGTCGTGGAGTGGGTTGCCAAGGCCCGCTGCCGTTTGCCGGCAGTCAAGCTGCAAAGCCCAACCTTGTGAAAGGTCCTTTGCCGTTTGGCACCTCGTGCTCTCAAGACTGCAGAATCCAACTGGTTAAAGCGTTGTTCCGGCTTGTTGGTGGCCCCTTCAATTGCTCCTCGTCGTTCCAGTCGAGCTCTCTTCAGTGCCAGGCTTCAAAGATGCACCTCACCATTTGCGCAAGAGCAACAAGCAGGTGCGCTGAATGACGGACGCATCAAGTTACTTTACTGTACGGCTGGAGCTCCGGCACACCCCTTGAAGTGCAGCCAGCTCATACATGTAGCAACAACGATTCATCGCCAGGCCGAGCTTTCAGTGACGGAGCTGTTTCGCAAGATCGGGAGCTAAAGGAAATGCCGCGAGACTTTGAAAGTTCTGCTCCTGCTGCCAGTCCTTGAGAGAGTGCCGTAGGATTCTAAAGTACTGCGAGATAATTGAAGCACATGGATATATGGAATGAAGTATATAAACTGACCTTTGCAGCCCAAGACGGGCCTTAAGGAAATTGACACATGCAGTTACAGGTTTTAGGGCTTTTAAGGTTTATCGCTTTATCCAGAGGTGCTGTCACGTTCGAAGCTGCAGGGCACGGTGCCGAGAAGCTTCCACCTGGAGAACAGACTACTTGGAGTTTTCAGCTCGGTTTAACTAGTGAGAACTCAGTACGATTCAGGTTGGCGGGCTTGGGTTGACATGCTTGGCACGAATAGACACGGCTCGGCAATTCGCACGACCACAACAAATTGCATCAACAAGCGGAACATCGCAAAACCGTGGTGGTTGGTTGGTGTTCGGCTGGTCGATAGCCGGAAGGTGGTGTCCAGGGATGCTCATCGTTTGCCATCTGATCTTCCTGCCGCTGGCACAAAAGGCAGCTTTTTAGCTGGCCCTGTGTGCGGTTCCATTGCGGCTCTGACGACCGGATGCGGGAAGATCGGGTGGGGGGTGCCTCGCGGTTGACCGTGTTGGAGTGCCTTCCAGCGACCTGGGGACGGCTAGTGTGGACCTCTTTCTTGGCAGCGCCCTTTGGGGAAGCAATTCCATGGCCGACCCTTCGCGGGGAGCCCTCTGGTTTGGCTTCCATGGCCCGTCCATGATCGAGAGCGCCGAGAGGCCGGACACACGACCCAGAACCAGCGAGGATGAGCGAGGCTTCACGGTGAGTGAGCTTGGCATACCTCTCGAGAGTATCTTGGTCATGCTTTGGCAGGCACCATTGGGCCCGGTGGTTTTGTTCGTGGTTTGGGTGGTCAAGACAAGTTTCCAACATCGCCAACATGACTCCCCGCCGTTTCTAGCAACTGAACAGATGTTGACTTGCAGCAGGACGAGCACCACAACACACCAATAAATCACACATCAACACAACCGACACCAACCCCACCAGAGCACACAGCACCAAACGATAACGATACTAAACTAAAACACAAAAACACACAAAAACACACACACACACAGACGCACACACACACACACACACACACACCCACGCGCGCGCATAAACACACAACGAAGACTACACCATGGACTGCACGGGTGTCACCGATTTTTCCAACGCAGCCAGTGCGATGTTGTGCTTGCACAGGGTCGTGTCATCTTGTTGAGTTGATGGCTCTGGAGGTGGTGGTTGTTGGGTTCGTTGTGTTGGCGGTGCTGTTAACGGTTTGTTTGCTGCGTCGTTCCGTGCGCCGATCCTTGTCCACGCGCCGCCTGGCAACCCACCGACCGCTCGTTGAGTGTCTTCATTAATTTATTGTGATGTCGGCTGTTTGGGGATGTTGTCAGTGCTTGTTGGTCGCGTTACAGTGTTGAGGTGTGGCCACGATGGTGTGATTCGCGAGGTGGTGGGATGTTGTTCATGCTTGGCTGCTGTGTGTCGTGATTCCAGGGCTGCAGTGTTGGGGGATGTTGCTGAGTCGATGGCGTGGGAGGCATCGTGATTGTTCGTGACATGTTGTGGATAGCAGATGACGCTACACCCGAACGTATTTGCCAGCTTGAGTGATGAATTGGTTTGTGGGGTTCTTTGTCCTTGATGTTCGCCGTATTGCTTGGGATGCTGTTTGGTTGCATCCACGAACGCACCACCCAAACTTCAAGCAAGGACTTTCGGGTTCGTTGATATTCCAGACATTCAGCATCAAAAACTACGATGAACAGCAGACAACCTCGACACCCCTGCCCAAGCATCAACTAAACCAACAACGGCTTGATAACACCATCACGAGATACAACAGCAAGCAGATTTACCTTCACTATCACGACAAGCGCTTGACTAATTCATTTAGACCAGCAGCCTGGAGCACTGGAGGTGGTGGTTGTTGGGATTTGTTGGGTTCGTTGTGTTGGCGGTGCTGTTAACGGTTTGTTTGCTGCGCCGTTCCGTGCGCCGATCCTTGTCCACGCATAACCCCACTGATCACGCCATCGCGTCGCCCCACATAGAAGCAACAAACATGCACAATGACCCCAAATATGTCCAATTATTGCAAACGAACATCTACGTCCCACCCCACCCAACAAATCATGAACAGCAATAGAAGCCACGCTGTCAACGCACCCAGCATCACTCGACAACAGCAAGCATAGACAACCGGCCCAACGCGACCAGCAATCACGGACGAAGAATCCACACAGAAGCAACAAGCATGGGCAAAAACATATTCAAAATTATTTCTACGAGCATCCACGCCCCACCCCACCCAACACATCGTGAACAACAACCAACCAACAACAAAAAGCAACAGCAACAACAACGACGCCAGCAACCACAACAACAAACAACAGAAACCATGCCGTCAACACACCCAACATCACCCGACACAGCAGCAAACATACACAACGGCCTATCACGACCAGCAATCACGGACGAAGACTCCACAAACACACCACCTAACTAGCAAAAAACCCAACACTTTCGAGCCTCGCTTCCACTGTCATCCACTGTCAACTCGACGAACATCCCCCCAAACATGCTTTTAATTGATTGTTGAGACCGGCAGCCAGCTAACATCCCAACGCAGCCAACATCACTCCACAAGCACACCAGCCAAATCCAAATAAAACACACTCGGCGTTGGAGACAACCCAATATCGGCTAACGTCGCTCAAGCAAGCATAGGCAAGGACCCCAAACATGTAAAAATTAATTCCGCGAGCATCCACGCCCCACCCCACCCAACAAATCAACCAACAAGCAAGCAACCACAACAACAAACAACGGAAGCCACACCGTCAACACACCCAACATCACCCGGACACAACAGCAAGCATACACAACGGCCTAACACGACCAGCAATCACAGACGAAGAATCCACAAACACGCGCCACGCTTCCACTGTCAGCTCGACGAACATCCGCCTAAGTTGAGACCTGCAGGCAGCACCAAGCAAACATCAGGCAACCAACCAACCTCCCAATTCGACAAACACACCACCCAAACCCAAACAAAACCACTCGGCGTTGGAGACAACCGAGTATCGGCCAAACATCGCCCAAGCATGGGCAATGGCACCAAACATGTGCGAATAATCCGGTAGCACCCGCACCCTGAAATCGTGAACAGTATTTAATGTGTTTATGAGGTTTAACGGTTTAGGAGGTTTAGTTCAGGGTTTTAGAGTGGGTTTAGGGATGGGGCTCTTGTGGGTTGGGTTTTATGGTTTTTCGAGGTTTAGTTTTATGAGGGTAGGCGTTTCGGTGGTTTTTAGGGTTTTAGGGTTTAGGAATAGGGTGGTTAAGGGTTTAAGGTTAGGGTTTAAGGGTTTATTTAGGGTTTAGGGTTTATTTAGGGTAGGGTTTTAGTTTAGGGTTTAGGGTTTCTGGGTTTAGGGTTGGTTTAGGGGGTTTAGGGTTTAGGGTTAGGGTTTAGGGTTTAGGGTTTCTTGGTTTAGGGTTGGTTTAGGGTTTAGGGTTTAGGGTTTAGGGTTTA